GTACTACTCGTAGTCTAGGTTAGAGTACTTAAGTACCTAAACCTATAACTACTTAACATGATTGCAATACTAGACCATCACAGGTAGCTACTCCCAGAACACCTTTTTAAGTAGGCTTTGCGTCCACATTTGCTGTGTTCGAGAAAGTCAGTCTGGAACTCTGGATTTGGAATACAGTCTATACAGTTATTCTTTAACATGATGTGGCTTGCCAGATATTGCCTGGTTTACCACTCAAAATTGCACAACTAAGAAAAATTGCATTGTAGGTACACATAAAACTTTCTCGTGTCCATAAGATAAGATAAGGTACTTCATTTAACGCGGAGTTTACGCTTAGCTAATCAGCTAGTATACAGGTAATCCACAGCCCTAGTATTAACTAAAATGTACAATAATTGATCGGATAACACTATAAAAGCAGAGAACTAAAAATTTGGTGAATTAAATTACAATAAATTTCCATATCAGTCAAACTTGAGCGATCAAATTTTGTTGTTCACTTCACTAGTGCCTACTTCAGTCCTAACATCATTTGATAGCTCGTTCCATTCTTTGGCGGCAAAATATCTCCATGATTTGAGACCATATTTAAATTAGTCGTGTTAATTTTTGGCAAAGAAAGGATATAGTCATGTCAAAGATGATACTTGGATGATCGTAAGGTGATAAGATCTCTGACTGCGGATGAAGCTTTGTCTGATATACAATTGTTTATTGTCAATGGCATGTCTTGGGTTCTTCAAGTTTCCATGGATGGGAGTCTGATTCACAAGGTCATTTTCAGACCGGAGATAAACATTGTTTTCATTAAGTACTTAATGACTGGCTCCAAGGGAAACAGTGAGGTTTGTTTCCTTGATATGCTGGAGGTTTCAAGGTGCACGACCTGTGCGAGTCGAAAGTTCAAGTTGTTGTTCCCTGGAGAGTTAGTGCGTTTTGATCCATGACACGTGGCATATTCTTCTCCAATCAGAAAATGTATTTGAGTTAGGAGATATAACATTTATAAAAAACAATCCAAACGACATTCTGCTTAATCGAAAAGCGAAATGAGTGTTAATAAGTAATATTTTCCACTTACATGTTTTGCGAGAGAACCAAGAGTAACATACATTTTAGTCAGCACCTGGAAAGAAAAAAAATTATCAAGAACTGTTGTGCTATCAAGAAATGAAACACTGGCATGCAATGATGAGAAAGATTGTATCTCACTACCGATAATATTAATCATCCAAAGGTTGAAATGCAACTGTCTTGCTACCTTTCATTCTTACTTGGTTTTTTGCCCATTGAATTGAGTTTTAATTGCTTACCGTTTAATTCAGTACACTACAGTTTGTTGTTTTATTCCTTTGCCTGTAATATTT